ACCACACCACTCCCCCGTTTATCCCCGGGTTCTAAATAAAAAACTCCGCCCCCCGGCCCCCCGCGCCCCCAAAAAAAAAAATGTGCCGTTATTGTGAGCCCCCCCCCCCCGGACTGGTCAGCTGCCTGCTATTATTTAATTAGAAGTAGGGCATAGTAAAAAGTCACATGTCATCATTCATCTAACTATACACAAATATTTTAGAAATACATGAGTACTGTGTTACGAGGAGTTCTCTGGAGAAGTGTGAAATGCTATAATATCCAAAAATAACCAGACGAGTTTTGTTTCCTTGAAAAATTTATCAAGAGAGGTTTTCTCCGAGCGTCGCTTTTAGAGTGATATAAAAAAATGGGTTATTGACACGAGCTATTGACACTCCCAGGAGTGTCAACAAAGAGCTACTGCCACGCCCGGGCGTGTCAACAAGAAGCTATTGGCACTTCCTGGGCGTGTCAATAAGGTGCTAAGATGAAAAAATCTTCTGAATATTTTCCTTGAGGTTCATAGCAAGCAGTTTTATTCATTTTCACAGACTAACTGAGTATAAGTATAAATAAAATTTTGCTTTTTTTTCTCTAATTTTCTTTTATAACCAATTCTTAAAAATAAGCCTGCAGATTTATCTTCATTAGAAAATGATATTTATATAGTCTTCTCTGATGAGATTCATACCTATATCTCACTTTTATCAAAAAATATATCCGTTCGCATAGATTAACATTTTTTTTCCGATAGATATATTCTTATATAAAGGCATGATTTATCTTTATTTCTTCACCGTTTCCAGAGAGCTTCACTTCAAGACTTTGGAAAACAATTCGAAAACGATCCGTCTTTTCTCTTGATTACTTTTTCACTATACACTTTTTCTTTAAAAATAAATATTATATAATATTAATAAATATTACTAGTTGAGTAGTGTATAAGTCAAAAGTTCAATTCAACTATCCAATTATTCCAGTGTTAATTCAATTCTACATTCACTCTCACCACCCCCACTCCCCTCCGCCGCGACCTCCTGCCTCATTCGTGTTCAAGTGGAAAATTTACCACCTCCAGCGCAAAACTGGATAGCTGTGGAACGTTTTTGCAACTGAATATCTGAAAAGTCGAATAGTTTCTATTTTATCCATTTTCAGAAGTGACGAGTTGACTGAATAGTTGAATAATTGAATAGTTCAATAAGTTCAATAATTGAAATAATTGTTCAACTATTAATATTGAATTCAACTTTTGACTTCTGCACGTATGTACTAGTTGGGATTAGTGTGGGAAACGAGGCATTATGTCTTCACAGACACGCCAAGAGAGTGGTAATAGCTTCTTGTTGACACGCCTGGGCGTGTCAATAGCCATTCCGTAAAAAAATTCCCGCAGCAACTGCTGAGGAGCAACGGTAGGAGATGAGGCAAGGAAGAAATTAGATCTAGATATCATAGAAATTTACAAAGAAAGGAGCTTTGGAACTGATTAAACTTTAAAAATTGTTATTCTTTTTTTTTGAAGAAAAATATGTTTTCTCCTACAGCTCTGCTTCGTGTTTTTACAAATGCGTTCAGAACACACGGTGCAGCGAAGCTCAATCAGCTGGATGATGAACTATTTAAATCTATTGCAGCTGAACTACATCCCAATACATCAATACTATGGTTAAAAGATATATGGCAAAATAATACAAATAAAACAAAATTCCAAATATTATCTGAATACGAACGATCTGAAGGTCTTGAGTAAGTGGCAGAGACATTTAAGAAGGATTGCAGTTCCACTTTGATGAGAGACATCTTTTGATCTTGATGGTGGTTGTGAACAGAAGAAAACTTTTGTCCATTACATGACAATGTGATAAATCAATATAAAACCTCCACGTTATACAAATGTGTCTCGTGTGTTAAAAGACTCGGTTTTTGGGTGTAGTTTTGTGTACCAAAACCAATGTTGACTAATGCATCGCACTACAGCTAATTTACAAAAAACTTTCTACGCGGAATACTTTCCGATGCTGAAATGGTATAATTACCTCCCTCCATTTGTAGTAAACGTTTTTCCTATTGCAAAGCTTCGTATTTTTGTATTTTTCGCTGCCGTAACTGAACGATCTTTCTTTACAGAGTTAATTCTCTGCTACTTTAAGCAATGTCGGTAGATACGCAATATTCTAAGACAAGGATCTTCCATGGAAAAGTACATTTGATTAAAAAAATATTGTTTCTTTAGTAAAGAAAATGATGATGTCAGCAGCATAATTACACCTGTTAATAAGGAATCATCGTCAACACTTGAACCATGTTGTTTGTAATAAAGGCAGCTTGTTATCAAACCCGAATTCTTTCGTAGTACGATCAGATATGGTTCAAAAATTATCGGTCGGATACAATAAGATATACGGTTCACAATTAAAAGATGATATTGCTAATAAACGAATACATAAAGCATGTTATCACTGTTTACATTCTTCAGAACAACGTACTACGAAATACGAACTGACAGCTGAAGCTCGTGGTAAGGATGATCATACTTCAAAAAAATTTCTAGAAATTATGACTGCATTAGAAATGAAACTGCCCTTTGCACTCCTTTGCGAACTCTAAAGCCTGCTGCTCACTGAGAACATCTTAAAACTGGACTTTCGCATCAGAAACTCTTCTGCAATAGACAGATCGGAAAGAGAAGCAAATGCAATTGGCATAGCTTGATAGTACGTTTGATTCACCCACTAGTTCTTTGTAAAAAAATTCTGCTCTAGTAAACAATTTACAATTTACTAGGTGGTACAAGAACCACCTAGAAACCTTCTACACCTGTAAAACCATTACATTCGTTAGAGCATCGTGAGAACGGACGCAAAAGAGTCTTTAGTCGAGTGTAACTGTACATGCGCATATCCAAGTGGTTCAGGAGAATTGTCACGGGTCCTTCTTTGATATCTCGTCGAAATCGATCGTGTTTTCGTTCGTCTTAATACATATTATACCGGCCATACACATTTTTTGCTGTATCTGGATTTAAACGGCAAATTTTCTCTTTATTTCATTGTTATATACTCGCATCTTTTTCTTTTCACACATGATGAACGGGACACTATAGATGATGATATCGTTGGCATTACAGACGATGTTGCGATACATAATCACAGTGGTACAGCTTCTGAACAATTGTTGTCTCAACCATCTTCGAATAGAAAAGTTGCAAAGAAATCCACAATAAAAAGATTTTTGAGTCACTTGCCATTTACCTCAGCTAACAAACAGCAGAATAATGTTTCACAATTTTCAACTACAGATGATAATAGCACAACTTCGGGTTCTACAACATATATAACTTCTGCATCTTGGCGGAGTTTACGAAAAACTTTATCAAATCGATCACAACTAAATGATTGTGACAGCGGAATGGCATCTGCAGTATCACTGTTAGAAAGTAGTAGTATTGATCGTACACCACATATCAGCACTGATGCTCAACCGTTATGTAGTACTCCTATGCAATACACCATAGGATATTCACAGTCGGTGAGCATAAATTCATTTTTCGAACTTGAAAATACAAGCCTGTGTTTGAATTTAAACTGTATTTTTCTCAATCCACTTTTTTGTATTTTGTCATACGCCAACAAAACAACAAGACGCTTTTGAAGACAAAGATAACTCCTTTTCAAAACGTATACGCCCTGTAGAAGAGCAGCCGGTAAGGTAATGACGGCAGACATAATCTAGAGTGAAAACTGAAATTCTCCTATGTCTGAAAAAGGGTATACCGACATTTGGACGCAACGACATTTGGGTGCGGACGACATTTAGACGCACGACATTTGGGCGCAACGATAGTTGAAGTTCAAAGACACCGGTGTGGGTGTGGGTGAGGCTGAGTGTGAGTGTGAGTATCGATGAAGATTAAAGAAACAGGGGTTACAGTTGGACATGAGTGATACAGTAAAAGGTCTCACAGCATAAAGAGAATTTTATCGTTTTGTAGCATACTTTAACAAATGCACTACTTCTGTTTGCTTTTGTCGTAGATGCGCCTAATGTCGTTGCGCCCAAATGTCGCGGCGCCCAAATGTCGTCGCCCAAATGTCTGGTAATCCTGAAAAAGTATCACAAAATATTCATCGCGGAAGTTCGCGGCGACCTGAATAGTTATAAAGTAGTGAGCTGGCATGCCAAAGGACAACCACAAAATTGACAACAATCCAAAAATCAGAAGGCTTTTCTCTCTACTAAGATTAAAACTTCCCTCTTAGATAGCATAACTGAATTCGGATTTGCCATATACCGGCATTTTCCTGGTGGCTTCTCTCTAGAAAACCGAGTTGTTGTGACCATGCCTTTTTAGATCTTGCCAACTCTCTTCCGTAAAATCTCTGAATTAATTTGTAGAACTAATTTGTAAAGCAGACTTAAAAAGCATGAGGATACTTTTCGCAGACATGTCAGAAACTTCTAGATTTTTCGGCAGACGTAAGTGTGTTTCTGTATTTATAGTCAAATCAATCTATATCTCCACTACAATCAATTGGAAATAACCAAAATGATACGTTCACCTCATTCACGACATCGAACGGAAGAAGTACAAGTCTGTCTCAGGCCATAAGTCGAAGCAAGAGCGAAGACTCTGCGGCTTGTCGGGCTAACGGTCCGATTTTTTCACTCATTTTCAAAGAATCGTTGCAATAAAGCTAGAAACCATTTCAAATTCGGAATAGATGATCTAGTAGAATAAATATTTCTCTACAAAATGAGAAATGTCTCGACTCTGAAAGCTGATTAGTTATGAAAATACAGTTATTTTACAAGAAGCCCAAAAAGTCGATTTTGGGGCTATTTGAAAAAGGGGTTTGAAAGGGTGAAGACGACTGAGCAAATATTCTTAAAGCATACCACTTTGTAGAGAATTGTTTGCTCCACAAGATATGAGAGTTTTTAAAGTTGTAAACTGTCTTAATTAATCTTCATTAATAAAAGAAAAACAAAGAAAATGGTAACGCACTCACGAAAAATGGCCAAAAATGTGATGTCATCATCTCTAGAGTAGTTTCAAGAACTTATACTATTACCTATCTTTTTCTACTTATTTTCTAGAAGAAGATTCAGAGAGGATCGTTACCGAAATTTCAATCACTGATATCAGATGAGATTATTGAAGAAGAACACGAGGAGCAAGAAGAAGCAAGTGTCTCTCTAAACCATACTCTATAGATACTGATCTTCGCCAGAAGAGGCGTTTTTTGTTTGAAACTTAAAAAGAGGGACTTAGGTTTAAAGGCTATAGAAACTAGATATTCTAATTCGCCGAGACATAAATAGAAACAGAGTGAAAGTATGATATAAGTGTTATTGGGTGACTAAACTCGAATATCCCAGTTTGTTAAGTTTTAACACAAAGAACAATGTCTACGAGACTATTGCATATTCACGATAGGTCATAATAAACTTGCTAAAGAGCATCTACTCGTTATCGTAGGAGTTTCACTTTATGATCTGTATGGTCTACGCGGTCAAGCTTTTTTTATAGGAATTAGTTTCTTCGAAAACGGCAGTACAAATTACTGGTCTTGATTTCGACGTTCTACAGTCAGATGAAGAAAATGAAAAAGATGAAGATGATGATAGCAGTGTTGAAGTACGAAAAAAATTCATTGCCATCTGCTGTCGCGTATCGATCACTTATTCTTTATTCTCCTTTTGCCTTGTAGTCGGACGTTTCATACGAAGTTGACTATGATTCTGACGATGATGATGGTACTGGAAATTTAACAGACTTAGAGCACCTGAATACGGCTACGGTCCATCTGTCGAGTATCCGTATACACAATTATTTGCGCCCCATACAGCCTCACCCTCTAGAGATTTCCAAATAATTCAGTTCATAATCGGATGACATAAAGGTTATTCTCGTCATCGTTATTAATCGTTATCGAAGTGAATAATCATTCGACTTTCCTGATCGGCAAAAAGTCATATTGAAAAGTGTCTAATGTCGGACTCGCTCAAATGTCCGCTCAAGTGTCGGTCGCTCAAATGTCGGTTGACGATTGATTGTCGGTCCCACTCAGCAGTTGCCTATGGTTGTGGCTCGCTAAAGAATTCAGACTCGTTGTTTTGAATGTTCTCCTTTCGCTTCTTTTTCTATTCGTTTTTCTCATGCTTATACTTACTCTACTTTTAAGTCTAATGTCAAAAATACAGCAGAGCATGTTTTTCGTGTTACTAATAGGCGCTTCATATCATTCCTAGTATTATATATCATGGCTGTGCCGTCATCAATCATTCGTACATCAGCAACTTTAACACAGTTTTCTTACTGTAGTCATCTCCTACTGTCATCGATCAACGCATTCCCCTCCTTCTCATTGATCAGTACCCTTTAGATGCAAACGCCGTTTTAGTTATTTACCACTTTACAACGCATAAACGGGCGAACAACTTGTTTTGCATTATCTTAGAGTTACAGTTGATGAAACAGTTTTCATTTGATGGAACGCAAATTTTACCGTAGTTTTTAGCTGATTTCTCAGGATATACAAATGTAATGGAAATAAATA